GGAGAAAGAGGAGAATGCAAATGGATAGCAGCAGCAGCAGCAGCCGAGAAATCCAATTTGTTCAGCTTACGGAATGTATTAGCAGACATTTTCAAGTCAGGAATCCCAACTGCGCATTGGCAAAAGGCAAAAACATTGCATCTGTAATAAAAGGAACTCGTGCAGTCGAAAATACCGAAAATTCAATCTTTGAAATTTAAGCGAATTTTGATTCCAGCTCTTCAAATTTCTTCGCCTGCCCAGCACACCATATGCGTAACTAACAAGAATTTGCTGCATGAGGTCGAAACTTTTATTGGATTGTGGTCAAGTCGGCCATAACAGCGAGCATGCAGATGGTTGAACGGACGATTGTGACCGTTCTGATGCGCTGCTCCAAAAAATTTTCAGAAAACGCGATCGGCAAATTTTTTGAACATTGAGGACAGCACAGTTCCTACTTCATTTTTCGCAGAAATTCATGAAAAAAGCTGGTTGAATTTGAGCAAGTTCATCCGAACAGTTGATGTTTACATCCGATGTCAGTGGTGTTGCTGGCAAGCATCTGTATGAACATCAGCAACAGCACCAAGTCGCTGTTTCACGAAAGTGAATGCTTTCAACAAACATCTAACAAATGCATTAAGTACGTGCGCCAGTTATTCAAAGCTTCCTTCATGTATTTATGACGCACTACTCGCGAGGGAGCAAAAAAAACCACTCGGTCAAACCCCACAGAGGTGGCGCAGGTATCGAACAGGAGTTACTAGGTAGAGGTATGCAGGATTAAAGCGCCTGGCATAGTTACATCTGATGTCTGCGAGCACTTCTGGAACATCACGAATATCGGAACCCACACTAATTGTCTGAACAGTTCTAGTATTCTTAGCACGTACAAGATTACCAAAATCAGGTCGTGATTTAACAAAAAAAAAAGCTTACTAGCCATCCCCATTTCAAATGGAGCTCCTTCGGTTCTGAAATCCACTTCATTTTTAGCTATTGCGGCTACCCGTTCAATTTCATCGATGTACTCTTGCAATAACTGCCCAAGAATTCGCTCTAAAACTACCTGAAAAATTACAACTTGAGCAGTGGCTGAT